GCTAATATGGCAACTCAGCAACTAAATAATGTTAACATTGTCTCTTTAATTAACTTCTTGATTTTTTGTCTCCATAGGCATGAAACCCCCATTATCCACCTTCAGACTTACCTTTCTTCCCTACATATAAATCTGTATATAAATTGTCTTCTGATTGGTTAATTATATTCTCGTCTAGCATCGTACTTGATCTCTTGCTTCGCCCTCAGATGAGACGATTTTGTATATAACAAATTCTGTCAGAAAATGCTGCCATTACTTGCCAGCTTGTTACAGTCAAATTTCCTCTCGTGTTTGTGGTCATAACAAACAGGTGATGGGCGGAGCCAGACGTATCAGTGACACTATTGACCTCATTCTTATGTTGCAGTTTAATACCTCATTGTAGATGTAGTCATCAACTAGATTATTATGCACCTTTTTTTAATTAATTCCCTTTTCTCTTTTTCTTACCTCATAAATAATACATTTGCTTGAATAAAAATCGTAACTTTAATTAAATATGCAATTGCATTTATTTTTTCTTTCTAAATATTATAAGTAATGCAAGTAAAGTATTTTAAATGATCTTAAACTTTTTTTTTAAATATTCAGAGACTGATCTTGGAAAACAGTTCTAATGATTTTAAGAACGAACAAAAATTCAAATAACTTTCTTTTGGCTGACTCAAGAGTTTAGAAACAATTATACTTTTAGATTCCATTATTTTCGCCTTACACGCCTCCACACTCACACACACACACACACATACACTCACACACACACACATACACACACACACACACACATACACTCACACACACATACACTCACACACACACACATACACTCACACACACATGGGACACAGCAACAAGGGGTCACAACTGGAAATTGAAGACTCGGGTGAGTCACAGGGATGTCAGGAAGTATTTCTTCAATCACAGAGTTGTCAGGAAGTGGAACAATCTGGAGAGTGATGTATTGGAGGCAGGATCCATACATAGCTGTAGGAAGAGATTAACTCATGAAGCTACCAGCAAAGATGTGGGGCCAGGAGCTGTGAATCGACCCCTGCAACCACAAGTAGGTGATTACAAATAGGTGAGTACGAATAGGCGAGTACACACAAACACACACACACACACAATGGGATTTTGAGGAGCTGGAGAGAGGAGACAATGGAGAGGCAAAAGACTACATAATAGGAACACTTCAGTCTGGAGGTCCCAAGGTGGTAATTGCAGTGATGTATAACCCACCACAGAACAGCAGGAGGCCAAGGCAAGAGTATGATAAGAGTAATAGAGCGATGGTGGACACAATGGCTGAAGGGTCAAGAAGGGTTCATGCGAGCAGGGCAGAGTTACTGATCATGGGTGACTTCAACCGGAAATTGACTGGGAAAACCTGGAGCCACAAAAAGACCAAGAAACGTGGAGGGCTAAGATGATGGAGGTGGTGCTGGAAAACCTCATGTACCAACACGTAAGAGACACTACCAGAGAGAGAGGAGAGGACGAACCAGCAAGGCTGGACCTAGTATTCACCTTGAGTATTGCAGATACTGAGGACATCAGGGAGATCAGTAAACGAGATGATGGAATAAGTGACAACAGTTTGCAAAGAAACTGAGGAGAGGTTTATACCCAAGGGTAACAAAAATAACGAAAAGGACAGGATGAGCCCTTGGTTCACCCAAAGGTGTAGAGAGACCAAAACCAAGTGTGCTAGAGAATGTAAGAATTATAGAAGGCAAAACACCCAGGAGAATAAAGAGAGCAGTCGTAAAGCCAGAAATGAAAATGCTCAGGTAAGAAAGGAGGCCCAACGACAATACGACAATAACATAGCAGTGAAAGCCAAATCTGAACCGAAGCTGTTGTACAGCCACATCAGGAGGCAAAAAGCAGTCAACGACCATGTAATCAGGCTGATGAAGGAAGGAGGGGAGAGCACAAAAAACGACCGATAAGTATGTGAGGAGCTCAACATGAGATTTAAAGAAGTATTCACAGAGGAGACAGAAAAGACTCTAGATAGACGGAGAGGTGGGGTACACCATTAAGTGTTGGACACAATTCATACAACCGAGTAGATGAGGAGGCTTCTAAGCGAGCTAGAGACCTCAAAGACGATTGGGCCGGATAACATCTCTCCATGGGTCCTGAGTAAGGGATCAAAGGCACTATGTGTACCACTAACAATACTCTTCAATACAGCTATTGAAACAGCGAGACTACCTGAGGTATAGAAGACAGCAAATCTAGTCCCAGTTTTTGAAAAAGAAGACAGACACGAAGCATTAAACTACAGACCAGTGTCACTGACCTGTATATTATGCAAAGTCAGGAGAAGAGTGGTGGAGCACCTAGAAAGGAATGAGCTTATCAACGACAACCAGTACGGTTTCAAGCACGGGAAACACTGTGTCAGGGTGACAGCAGCAAGACAAGAGAGAGAGAGGGGATTGGTAGATTACGTTTTCTTGGACTGTAAGAAGGCGCTTGACACAGTTCCACACAAGAGATTAGTGGAAAAAATGGAGGACCAGGCAGGGATAACAGAGAAGGGAATACCTGGCGGGAAGACATCAGCGAGTTATGGTATGTGACGAGGTGTCAGAGTGGGCGCCTTTGACGAGCGGGGTTCGACAGGGGTCAGTACTAGGACCGGTGCTGTTTCTGGTATATGTGAACGAAGTGACGGAAGGGATAGATTCAAAGGTGTCCCTGTTTGCAGAGGATGTGCAGCTAATGCAGAGAATTCAGTCGGATGAGGACCAGGCAGAATTACAAAGAGATCCAGACAGGCAGCAGGACTGGTCCAGAAACTGGCTTCTGGAGTTCAACCCTACCAAATGCAAAGTCATGAATTTTGGGGAAGGGCAAAGAAGACCGCAGACGGAATACAGTCTAGGGGGTCAGAGACTACAAACCTCACTTAAGGAAAAGGATCTTGGGGTGAATATAACACGGGGCACAACTCCTGAGTCGCACATCAACCAAATAACTGTTGAAGAATATGGGCGCCTAGCAAATCTAAGAATATCATTCCAACATCCCAATAAGGAATCGTTCAGGCAACAAGACTAGTCTCGGAGCTAAGGGGCAGTCCTACGAGGAGAGATGAAGAGAAATCGACCTGACGAAACTGGAGGACAGGAAAGATAGGATGGGATATGTTAACGACATATAAGATACTGAAAGGAATCGACAAGGTGAACAGAGACAGAATGCTCCAGAGATGGGACACAGTAACAAGGGGTCACAATTGGAAGTTGTAGACTCAGATGAATCACAGGGGTGTTAGTAAGTATTTCTTCAGTCACAGAGATTTCATTAAGTGGAATAGCCTGGAAAGCGATGTAGTGGAGGTAGGATCTATACATAGCTGTAAGAAGAGGTATGATTAAGCTCATGGAACAGGGAGAGTAACCTAGTAGCGACCAGTGAAGAGGAGGGGCAAGGAGCTGTGACTCGGCCCCTACAACTAGAACTAGGTGAGTACATACGCGCACACACACACACACACACACACACACACACACACACACACACACACACACACACACACACACACACACACACACACACACACACACACACACGCACGCATTCTTTACAGAAGAGCTGTTAGCATGGATTTAGGGATGGAAGGTCCTGTTCTATAAATCTGCTGGAATACTAGGGCAGGGTCACACAGACAAAACAAGAAAGCCGGGGTTGTGTGCTGTATTGTCTTGGACTGTAGACAAACATCTGATGCAGTACAACACCAAATATTAATTCACAAATTAAAAGAACACAAACGCCTCAAAGGCAAAGCACTCCATTGGGATAGTACTTTAAGACAAATGACACAGAGTAACAGTAATGGATAAGACACCATAATATGAGAGAAAATACTGAGTTGGGTTCTGCAGGGATCAGTACTAGGACCGCTACTGTTACAAGTATACGGGCATGACTTCCCAGAAGGGATTGAATTATATTTGTTACTGTTTGCTTACAAAACAAAATTATTGAGAAGAATAGGAAATGAATATGATAAACTCTAGTGAAACCTCAGTAGCCTTCAGATGTGGTCAATTAAGTCTCTTTTCCCGTTCAATCTAAACATATGCAAGGTCGCACGTTTTGGATAAGATGAGGACAAACCAGCATGATTGGAAAGAGGTTGCAAATAATGGACAGGGAAAAACACCTGGGTGTAAATATAACTCCAGGAATATAGCCTAAATTACACATAAACCATATAATGTCAGCAGGATATGCATGATTAACAAATCTGAAAACACCATTCAAGATTCTGAGAACTGACTCCTTCAGGACTTTATTTTACGATATAGATAAGCACGAGCAGAGGCTCGAAAAAATTCAAAGGTTTGCATCCAGACTTGTATCAGAATTGAGGAGAGGTTGAAGTGAAACTGACGACCTCGACCGAGAGTAGGATATGGGGGGATACATGATCGGTACAACGAAAATCCTTGGAGGAATTGATGGGCATATAAGGACATACTGATTGAACTAAGAAAATCAGGATCAAGGGGTCACAGGTGAAAACTGAAGATAGATGAATTATAGGGTTAAACGGATATATTTATTTAGGCTCATGTTGGTTGAAAAGTGGAATGGCTTGGATTAGGCAGTGACACAGTTAAACTCAATACACAGCATCAATAGTATATATGATAAGGTCCTAGAGGCCGATCAATGTTATCTAAGAAGCGGGGCGGAGAGTAGAGTCTAGACCCCGTAAATATAACTCGGTGAAACTTGGTGAGTACACAGACACAGACACAGACACACCACACACACACACACACACACACACACACACACACACACACACACACACACACACACACACACACACACACACACACACACACACACACACACACACACACACACACACACACACAAAGTCAGCCCCCCCCAACTATTCGACACCCCCTTCACTTCCCCAAACACCCAGCCCGGGGGCTAAGACTCATTTTCTTTCCCTCCACCAGGAACCTGCTGTTGCCTGACGGGGTACCAGCTGAGCGCCAGAGAGCCAAGTTCATCGTCAGGGTGTACAGAGCTGACGGCCTCCCCAGGATCAATTCTTCCATCATGGCCAACGTGAAGAAGGCGCTGACGGGGGATTCCCGTGACCTCCTCGATCCCTATGTACAAGTCTCCTTCGCTGGACTCTCGGTGAGTATTTCGTCTCATAGTGTGCGAATTGTAGCACCTGAGAAACTCATAACATCCTTATTTATCTTTATCTTCTTTATCTTACATTGAGCAAAGTGAAGGAATCTAGAGCCATCATGGTTCACAGGACAGAACACATGGCTTAAAATACATACATAACCTAGCAAACACAACATGACACTATGCACGAACCCAGAATAAAGTTGACTATGACCCCTCATCAATGTAAGACTCGTCAGTATACGTAAATATTCGTCCCATCAACGCACAATAAATTTCAAACCTTCAAATATATATGAATATTCATATCTGACCTTAACATCGCATGTATCCTCTCACCCGCTTAATATGACAGGTGACCTATGACCTCCATAGCATTATACATGCAAAGGTGATATCTGACCTCCTTATCATCACAGGTGACCTACGACCGTAGGAACACAGGTAACCTCTTGATCTCCTATATAACAAGAGTGACGTTTGGCCGCCTTGGCAAGACAGGTGACTTCTTACCTCCTCTGATCGCCTTGACAGCACTGATGACCTCTATACCTCCTTACAACACGAGTGAACTCTTGGCAACACAGGTGACTTCTGACCTTATTAACGTCAGATGTGACCACTGATCCCCTTAACACAAATGAGCTTTGACTCCCCCTTTACAACATCTTTGACCAATGGCCTACAACCTCCTGGTGGGACCTGTTCATCTGGCTGGTTTCGCAGGGTCGCACGAGCGTCAAGAAGAACACGTCTTGCCCCACCTGGAACGAGCAGATCGTCTTCACAGAGATGTTTCCCCCGCTCTGCCAGAGAGTGAAGATCCAGGTGAGGGACAACGACGCTGTCAACGACACCGTGGTAGCCACACACTTCCTAGACCTCACCAACGTCTCGAATGATGGTGATAAAGGTAGGTGTGGACGTAAGATATATATATATTATATATATATATATATATATATATATATATATATATATATATATATTATATATATATATATAATATATATATATTTATATATATATATATATATATATATATATATATATAATATATATATATATATATATATATATATATATATATATATATATATATATATATATATTGAGAGGGAGGGTAAGAGACTCTTAATATTCATTTGTAATCCTCCCAGCAATATGTCAAGCTACCGCCAGATATCACTTGTCAAAGACTGTATGTGTCTCTGCCTATCTGTTACTTACTCTGACTCTCGTAGTTCTTGAGCCTAAGTTGCCTCTCCTTTCTAATTCAAAGGAGAACTGAAAACAACTTAATGTTTATTCATCAAAACTACAAAAACATGTAAGTAAACATTCCCCTCAATGTTACCGTAAAAATAATGAAACTGAAACAGAAAAGTTTTATTATTATTTATTCTAACTATGTCTCCCTAACATCATATCATTACAAACAAGGCAACAACAAGTAATGCAAGAAATAATGCAAGAATTGCTACAATAAAGAATAAAGCACCAACGACGGCAACACAACTCTACGGTAATCTTTAGCCAGGTTTCACTAATTCACTTACATTAATGTTCGTAACCTTGATATAAATTTACTGAATACTTCTGTTATTTTACTTTGATAAGAGTTTCTCAACAAAATACTACTACTACTACTACTACTACTACTACTACTACTACTACTACTACTACTACTACTACTACTACTACTACTACTACTACTACTACTACTACTACTACTACTACTACTATTACTACTACTGCTACTACTACTACTACTAATACTACTACTACTACTACTACAACTACTACTACTACTACTACTACTACTACTACTACTACTACTACTACTACTACTACTATACTACTACTACTACTACTACTACTATGCTACTACTACTACTACTATACTACTACTGCTACTACTACTACTACTACTACTACTACTACTAATAATAATAATAATAATAATAATAATAATAATAATAATAATAACTAATAATAATAATAATAATAATAATAATATAATAATAATAATAATAATAATAGTAAAACACCAGCATCATACACACAGTGACAACATACACCAGTACAGTGACATTATACACCAACATCACACACACAGTAACAACATACACCAACATCACACACACAGTAACAACATACACCAACATCACACACACAGTAACAACATACACCAACATCACACACACAGTAACAACATACACCAACATCACACATACTGTGGCAACATACACTAACATTACAAACTTACAGTGACAAAATACATTTCATCAGTCATTTGCACATTTTTTTTTAAATCTTATTTATTGTGTATTTTGTCAGCTAAGTTTGCTTAACCAAATCATCGGGTTGAAAAACTTCTTAACTCGATCTCTGTCAGTAATGAACATTCTTGTTATCATCAGGAAAAAGTAGCTTCCGAAACCCACTGATAATTATCTTTGCAACTAGATATAACTTTTTTTGCGTATAACTAAGTGCTATTTAAATTATTCTTTTATACTCTCCTTTCAAGTAATTTCTTCAGACTTTTGATACTGAAGTGTGCTACTAATGCCTTTTTTTTTTTTTGAATGCCTCTGGCTACTTCAGCGGATAAAAACACTGAGGTGAAAACAGTTTCTCTAAGTATACGTGCGTTAGTTTACTTTATTGTAAATATTTTTATGCTGACCTAGAAGTTCTGGTGTCTCAGCCATATACCCAAACACACCACTAAGTACAGGATATACGACCTTCTGAAAAATAAAGTCAAGGCCAATGTATTATGAGTTTGAAATAAACAGTTACGTATCTGGCCCTATAGAGCCAGAAATGTCAACTGAGTTTCTAGTGAAGCAGTGTCATCCACTTAAATTCCATCTCATAATGTTGTATTTCATCAGAGCAATGAAAGTAGTCTTTCTCAGCTGAAACATCTTGTTCTGCTTTCCATGGAAACATTACACGTTTCTGTCGTGAACGAGGTTAATCCCTTTAGCCCAGAATAAATCACAAACTTATATGCCTCCAGAGCACTGAACACCATCGTTACTTCATGAACAAAGCTTAGAAATTAACTGATGAAATAAGGCAAAGCTGTAAATTCTTCAGTCTGCAAGATTGCAGTGTAAATCTAGTGGGTATTTCCAAAAATATTTCCAAATATGATCCCGAAATTAGATGGAATGCATCTATCGATGAGTTTTATCGGCACTGAGGGAAACACTGCTGCAACAGTCTGGTAGAACAAGAGATCTGTTACATGTATTTGGAGGTGTGGAAAAAATGCTTGTGGGAAAGAGGTTCCCTCCCAGAAAATGAGGTTTATGCGTATATTGAGAGGGAAGCTACTCAGAGTCATGGTCAGACGAAGTCAGCTAAAGTGCTATGATGTCCTTTTGCTTATATAGGAAGACAAGACAAATAAAAGTAGTCCTACAAAGATGGCAAAGATGTGAGGTTGATCTTTTGTTAAATTAATAACTGCCATAATGCTACATGTAATGGAGGAACGAGGAAGCTTTATCAATTCCAAGTAGTTATTCTTATGCTGCCATATATATTTACCTTCAGTCATTTAAATAATGCCAGGTATGGCATGTAGTAACTCTAGAACATTAAAGCTTTACACGAAAATGTGATGGAACATTTCATGAAAGATTCACATATGACGCGGCATTCACAGGGAATGTGATCGAAATATGGAGAGATATGATTATTGACAACCTTTATGCTGTACTGACATGGTAGAGAGTAATATTATAGGCATCACACTGCTGTCTGAAACTCTGAAGACCTGGGCACTCAGTTTGCATGTGTAGTCAGATATCTGAAAATACATCACCTCACAAAGAAGAAACCAAAGAACAAATCGCTGAGAATGAAGATGACAGAAAAGGGCTTCGAAGGAAATATGATTTGAACGTAAACCCGAAGGATCCGAAGCAATACTCATAGGGTATGAAATGAGGTTAATGGAAAGATTGCTCCACCATCAGTAAATGTTGATAGAGCCCAGATATTGGTACCAGAGAAATATAGGAATTTGAAAATAAAATATCTGGTTGTTTCTATGTTACAATTCAAATGAACATAACAGTAACAGTAACGAAGAAAATTAATAACTATAGGAAAATGCAAGATCTTACATACCAAACTCATTTACTCAAGAATGACAGGGCTACAAGCATGTAAACATTGGTCAAGTTTTATCGTGTGACCTGTACCCACTGCTTATTTCAGTGGCTCAGAAGTCTAAACCCGCACTACAAAAATCAACCGATGGTTGAATATACAACTTGCTTTACAAGAGACATCTTGGGCAGTGGTAGATGGATGTTTTTCTTTTGTGGATTCCTCTCTTTTGTGGATTCCTTCCTATCAAGTTTAACAATATAATATTACAGTTATGAACTGTGTAATAGATTTAAGGAACGGTGAAACAGAGGTTGGGATATGGTGAAGTTTACATGGTCTTTGACTACATAACGATTTCAGTATAAAGAATTATAAAGAAACTCCAGAGGGAAAGAAGCCTGCAGAGTATCGACGATGAGTTTCACAACATCCACGTTTTCTAAGAATCTTGCCTTCACCGTGACTGAAAGGAAGATGCAGGTGATAAATATCATATTCAGATATCTCCAACAAGTTACTGATTTACACCAGAAGAATACGGAGAAACATACGCTTATAACTAGATAAAAAGAAACACTTTGATGGTTTGATCACACACCGGGAAGACCTAGCAACAAGTCATGAAGAGGTTAACAACATCCTCGTTCCAGATAATACTCTTTTTCATATCCTACAACTATTCCACTATATTTATCAAGGATTATAAAGACCAATGATAATGGAATACGCTTTTAGAGAAATTCAAAGAAGCCATTCGTCTAAGGTTAGCAGGTATTACTTAAACTAGGTGTGAAACTGTGTCAACTTGTTTGAGTGGTGGGAAAGGAACAATGTTTTAAGATATTGTAGGAAATGTTGAGGCAGATTTGCCTGATGCGTTGGAGCAGGAAACAAAAGTCATGGCTGTCTGCGACCGACAACAACAGGCCAAAGTAATATCACAAGTTGGATTAACAGAGCATTGCAGGGATTGAGAGGGTTGGAGCAACAAGTTCCTGAGCTTGCTACACACGCATCCGCTAATGAGGTATTCTCTGGGAATATTAAACGTGCTCATTCAGAGACTCACTTTAGGAAGAATGCTCTTCAGTTATAACCTGCACCATTACAAACTGTGTACGGATAAAAAAAAACAAAGATCAAAGCCATTGTTGCTCAAAATATTACCAAACAATCTCCTCTAATCATTATATTGGATTGTACAGTTGATCAAGACAAAGTGATAGTCCCTGCAAAGCTTTTGAATGTTGTAAATATATTCGTGACAAATTAGCAATCATAGTTTTTTGTTCTTGCCGTTCATCATTCAAGCTTATGATTAAGCATAATCAGTATTAGATGACGATAAGGAAGAATTAGCCACGTGAAGATCATAAGTCAACACGAATCATTTATGAATGCACTTGATAAATTTGAGTTATAAAAGTAAATAAATATAAGAATAAGGGAATATTATTTTTCCTATGACAGAGGGATGACGAGAAACAGACGACCATAAGCCATTTCATTCCAGGTGACAGTTTACTCTTTCCAACAGTAATGCTCACTTCTTAAAAAAAAATAATGAGGGTTGGGGTGGTCAGTCACCTAGTGACTTATTTTTTTCATAATACCTCAAATAAACTTAACATGATAAAACAAGACAGATCCTTGAGACTGCAGGACTATCCTCTCGATCCTGTGTAACGTTAATACTTCTTCGTCTTTCAGATAATCCAGATTCCTGTGGTATGATGCAACTCACTTTCCCGAGCTCCTGTATTAACTTGCTCGTTG